ATGGAATATACTGTAAGAATGTTTCTGCTTTTGGACTATTTCTCTCTAGGTGATTTCTCCAGAAAACTCTTTTTGAGGCAGTTGGATTCGTGTGTGTGTGCGGTACCCGATGCGAGAGGTGTGTTGCAGCATCGTGTGGCTTCCAGCTTTCCTTGGCTCCTTTAGCTTTTGCAAATAATTTCTAGTGATGTGAGAGGCTGAATGAAAGAAAATGGGGCATGGAATATTTTTAAACATGAGCGGACAAGCAAATCAGGGCGCTTAACTAATTATAAGAGAGAACGCAGGAAGAAGAAACCATCTGTACCTGAGAAAAAGAAAAAAAGAAGTTTTTTGGCACAATGACTGCTGTTACACTTTTAAATTGAATCCCTTTGTCCCTTCTTCATTTATTATTGCCAGTTGAAGTCTAGATTTGATGTATGTGAACGGCTGCCTGAATTCAGTGAGGTTGTTTGTAGGAAAAAAGAACCTCTCTGCAGAGATAAAATCCCACCATTAATTTCCGTGCTCTTTGGTGGAGCAACCTCTAAGCACACATCCCTAAACTGATTAACCACCTCTGCGCCTATTGGAAGTGATCAGTGATCAATAACAGTAAAAATACCCAGAACTCAGCAGCTGCAAGGGAAGTTAGCTCACGGCTTGAATCAGCACGTCCCCCAGTGGACCCTTCTCCTAATACAACCCCAACCGAGTATTTTGTGACGTGGTGGCACGTTGGTCCTCAGCTGTTTTACTGCCCACCATCTTCCACTGCGTGTTGGTACAATTCATTATTCTCCCCGGCTTATGGAGAACTTGATAAAGGTGTCTTATCAGGAAATACATAAATGGGGATAAAATATCTAGAAATCCTGATGATGGTATGAGAGCTGACTGTGATGGAAGCTATCTAAACACCTTAGAGGACCTAACTGCAACAAGGAGAGACAACAGAAAGGTGCTGATTCATTTGGGAGCCATCCCCAGGGGCTCAGCAGGTCTCAACCTCGTCTATCCAGGATGTTAATTTTGTTATTTGGTAGATACTTATGCCCTTTAACGACGGTCATTCTTCCTTGCACGTATCCTAAAGTGACTTCCTTCTGTAATCGTATTCCTTCTATTCCGATCACATCATAAGAAATGTTAATTTCCTTCTCCTAATTGGGTTGATAAAGTCTTTTGTCTAACAAATCTTTTCCAATATGTCAGCGTTAGATTTTGGTGCTGCGTGTGACATTCTGGGTATCGCAGCGGAGTACATTGTGATCGGTTCCAGTCTCTGAAATTCTCTCTTTTTCAAGGTTTGACTTTAGTGGCTCTTCCTGACACGGATAATGTATTCTTTTGTTAATCGAAACTGAACTGCAAGAAAAGCACTTCTTTTTATGCACATGCAGCTGGAAACTAATCTTCGTTATTAATTGCGGCAAGATAAGGTTTGCCACCGCAGACGGACGTTCTCCATCTGAGCAGAGGAGATAGTTTGGATTACTTGTCCGTTGGCCTGGTGGGGTGTGAGCACACCTTTCATCTTTACATGTGGCAGCAGCAGCCAGCTTATTCTTCAGTACTGAACTAATACGTTTGGTTTAATTCTGCCTGTTCTGATTTTCCATTTTTCCATCTGATTCCTCAGTTTTTCCACTTTCTCTGACTTGGACAGGGAAGTTACTGAAAATTGTCAATACCTGCTTTGGAGGAGCAAGAGGATTAAGCTCACACCTGGAGTGATTCATTGAATTTTTCTGTTTCCTCTTTTGAATTTTATTTGGGCATAAACCTGAACTGTTTTTACATTTGTGAGTTGCAGCAAACTTCACAGGTGATAACATACCGTTTCATAGATTATAGCAAAGAATTCATCCACATTTTTTTCTCTCCCTTCTGGGTAGTAATCTTTCTGTCCGATTAACCATAGGACCGAGTGTCATACCAAAATGGTGAAGCAATGCCAGCCTAAACATCTTACTTTTGCCACGTAGCCCTAACTCCCTCATTATTTCTTCTATTTCTTTTTTCATTGAATTGGAGATCATTCACAGGACGGTGTTTGAATATTCCAGGTAGAAATACTCACCTTGTTTCTCAGCCAACATCTCTTCTCACTCTTGTTGTGGGTATGTAAGAGATTACCAGGTGGCCAGGAGTACGTAGAGTGGTAGTTGTGATCTCAGCCTGATAGAAAACTGCGTTTTTCTTCATCCAGCCTTTCCTTGTTGGGCCCCTAATAATACAGCTTTACACCAGGGTGTAGGAGGAGTACTGTGATGAAATCTCTCTGCGCTTCTTATCCCAGTATCCTATACAACTTGATACTTCTTATTGACAATGTTTTAATATATATTCCTAAAATTAACTTCATCAGATAAAAACAGTCATAATTTTCTGGTTTCTCATGGCACTGGAGGTCTGAGATGATACTACAAAGTGCTGTGAGCTTTGCCACGACAGGGTCATTCTAGTGACTTCGGTTATGCCAGGAGGTTGTAGTAATTAAATGAGCTGCTGATTAGTCCCCTTTGTAACTTCCCTTTTCCTCAGTTAAATCTGGAATATTCAGGGTGGATCTTTCTGTGCTGTGCCAGTCGTGTCTCACTTTGCAGTGCCTTGATCTGGAATACTTGTATTTTGCCTGCCCCCCATGTTGTAGTAAAGGGGCTATCAATATTTCCAGCAATCCTTTCGATACTGGTCAAAACAGGCACGAAATCCTCGTTGACTTACATCTGATTTGGAACTGAAGATGTGATAAAAATGTTGTTCCGTTGGCTTTCACTGGGATGAGAACTGGGCTTTCATCGCTGATGTGCGTTAGGAAGTGTTTTACTCGGTGATGGAAGGATTGAGTATATCATCAAATTAAATCAAAATTGAATAATTCAAAAATCAGCGCTCAAATCTCTCCATCTCTTCTTTTGATGTGCTTTTGTAGAAAGTTGGTAGGGATACCTACCTTCCTAAAGCAGTGGGCTGTGAGAGGATGGTGTTGTTGAATTACAGCCGTGGTTTAACAGACGCGCGGTGGTTCGGTCCTTTTGCAGCTGCAGTGTACAGTAGATGCTGCATTATTTGTTCTTTATTGGTATTCACTAGAATTAATACAGGGGAAAAAATGAGAGTTACAATTTGAAGAAAAAAATAATGGTATATAAAGTAATGAGATTGTTCCAAAGCTTAATTAGATGGAGCAGATTGAATACATTACAGTGATGTCTTGAGGCAACATAATTAAATTGTAGGCATAATCCTCCCTGTATTGGAACCGATTTTATCTTCGTAAGGCAGGGCGCGTTAGACGGCCCTTCCTACTATGTTAGATTACTAATTCTTCTAGGAAGACTTACAGATCTCATAGTATTATCAGGCTTTAAAACCACAAAACACAAGAGGGTATAAGTCTACATATCAAACTGTGGATAGTCTGATTACATGGATAACTTCACTTTCAATCTTGGTACGTGCTACGGCTCGGTAATGGAATCATAGATCTCAAATACATCTATCTGCAGCGGAATATTGTGTATGCTGAATTCCTCTCATTTATCAAATCTCTTAATGAAGTTGTTTCCAAACATATACACTGACAAAGATGCTGGTGAATAACGCGCAGAAGTGCTGTTCCTGAAATGCATCTCTGCATGTGCTGGATGCAAATATGTAGATATCTACGACTTCTTAGCTATAAAGAGTAATCCTGTAAAATGTATGGATATGTGTAGACCTATATATATATATATATGTATTATTTCTATATTCTTTTATATATTCTTATATCTTCTAAATTATCTTTTTATTTTTTGCATAAATTTAATTTTTTGTTTTCATGTTTGGATACTTGCCTTCTCCATCACACTGCTGTGGGGGTGATCTGACATTATATTACAGACACATCCAAATAGCGTCAAAATTTTTTGCCTTACTTTATTAATTGAGTATACATAAATAATCTCTCTTAGCATCCTGATGCCTGGGTGTTATCTGGAGGCTTCATTTCTCTTGGGTTACCAAACATTTAGCTAAATACTAATTTATTTTTTTTTTTCATGAGGGATCTCTAGGTATCTTAAGTTGAGCAAAAGATCTTCCTAACTGCCTCTACTGGTTTGTTTTAAATAATTCAGATTTTCATTTGTCAGCCTGCAGGAAGATTAACTTTGTTATTTGCATTCAATAGTGAACTCTCTCTTTAAAGATTGCTATTGGTAATACATGTCATGAGTGGTCTTTATGGTTGCTGGTGCTTTCAGAAGAGATAAATCTCTACCACAGGCTGCTCAGAAGACAAGCTCATTTGTCTGGGCATTAGCTGGCACTTTCATAGCATAAATTTCAACTTTTCAGGAGGAATCTAATGTTTATTTTGAAAATGGAGATGAGGGTACCAAAGAATAATATGTTTACTTTTCAGCACCATGAATATGTAGTGACCTACTTAGTCTATACCATTTGGATTTATTTTTAAAGCTTGTCAAGCCAACTCCTCTTGCACCTCTTTAGAAAAGCAATAAACTAGACTTCCAGCATTTTAGAAGTAGAACAGTGAACAACGTTTTGAAGATTGTCCTTCAACAACGCTTTTACACGTGGTTATACCCTAAGTAAAATGGTGTTTGCCTTGGGTACGTTTTTTCTTGATTTGCAAGTTAAAATGCAGCAGTTGCAGGTCTGGGTTAACCACACTATGATGCTATAACTTTAAAAAAATATATATATTTTTCTAATAAATGGAATTTTTAATGATCGCTTGATTATCATGAGGTATTTTAAAGACAAGTGATTTTATCTGAAGCATTCCTTGTGTTTTCTGCATATGCTAATTTCCTTGATTAATTTTGAGAACATCTGCATATAATTCTGTCTACTTCACAGCGCTGAGATCACACTGCTTTTCAAGTAACGGCTCCAAATTTCGCTTTCCAGACAGACTCGGATTCTTGTCTAATTGGGATGCTAAATGTACAAAGGTACCACAGAAGAGTGTGTAATTATGTAATTTTCTCTTGATCTTTCAGAGTCTTCCTGCGAGCAATTAATCAGTATGCAGATATGCTAAACAAAAAATTTCTTGATCAAGCCAACTTTGAGTTACAGGTAAGAAAAAAAACACCCATGTCTTGGGAACTAATGTTAATATTGTAATAAATTTCAGCCCTAAATTTTGGTGTACATATGCGTTGTCATGAACCCGGGGTGACCAGTTAGCCCAGTTAAGTCATTTCGGGCTCAGTGGGTGTGTACCATCCATTCATGTCTTGTGGGTCTCATCCTAGAACAGCACCAAGTCTAACCCAGAGCATCACAAAAAAACTCTTCCTTCAGGAGCAGCAAAAAGGGGCATCCTCCCCCTTTCTGCAGCAGATGCTTTACCAGAATTATTGCCTCAAACATGGAGCCGGGGATGCGGCGTTTGGTTGCTCTGCTGATGAGAAACACGCTGGTTTAGGTCACTTGTTCAGGATCTTTTTTTTTTTTTTTTAAATTTTTATTTATGTGTTCACATTTAATTTGCCTTTAATCATCAAAACACAATCGATTAGGATGGGAAATGTTTCATGGAAGTGTCTCTGTGGTGTCTGTTCTTTTCTCCTTTAAAAATTTATGTGCGTAATTTAGATACTTCGAAGTTGTTTTGTGGGTGTGCGGAAAAACATTTCAGAGAATTAATGATATCTATTCTTGTCATTTTGGGGGCTTTCAGCTTTGGAACAACTACTTCCACTTGGCTGTTGCTTTTCTCACCCAAGAGTCGTTACAACTGGAGAATTTTTCGAGTGCTAAAAGAGCAAAAATACTTAACAAGTAAGTCCTATTCGTCATTTAAATCACGGACAAGAACTTGAGGTCTATTAACATAATTTTAGTTTAATTTCTTAGCTAAATCCATTCAGATTGAGATGCAATCATGGTATAATGAAAGGTTGGTTTTAAAAACATGAATCAAGTATTGCATGTGTTTCTACCCTTGAATCAAGATCTAAATTACATGATTCATTACCGATGAAGACAGTATTTTATACTGCAGGATGTTCATAAAGTCAAGACTTCTCAGAAGTATTAACATATTATAAAACGGAATTTTTAAATCACTTTAGCTTTGTGCTTATTCTAATCTCATTTTACGTGCGCTCTTTATTGCTTTAATCCCTAACGGCCTTTTAGAGCGAATTTTTGTAACTCCAGCCAGTTTCACTGCGATATCCCCGAAGAATGGGTTTGTATAACTGCAGCCGTGGATGCTTTCCTGGTTGAAAGCGATTACATTGCCTACCTCTGAACAGAGGGAGCTTGATCTACCCGATTGCTATTCAGAATCCCCCAGCAAATGAAAGCTGTCAAAACAAAACAAAAAAAAAAAAAAAAAAAAAATTGGAAGTAAGACTGGAGCATGAATATTTTGTTTGATGTATGTATTTGCTCCTAAATTTCATGGGGATTCCAGTCTATTGGACATTATCATTAATTAACTGAAAGATCAGGCTCTGTGTCCTATAATTTATTTTTTTTTTTGGCAGCCAAGTTTTGCTCTTCAAACTCATCCACTCCATCGTGAGTGTTGAGGAGTTTTCTTTGGAAGCTGTGCTTTACCTGAGCATTGAAACAGAATTTTTAAGCCCTGTGTGATCTGATAGACGTACATTTGACCCATGGGGCTTCCTTGATGAAACAGGAATATTTACAAGTTCAGTGGAGAAGTGATGTCAAGCGGAGCTCAGACTTTTGCAGTTGTGCTATAAATATCATAAATAACGTTATAGTTATACATTTGCCAAAAAAAAAAGAAAAACCCAAGATGGTTTTGTAGAGCCAGGTAAGTTTTGTTTCATTATATTTAGAATTCATGGGACAAAATGGTTTAGTAGAAGATGCAACCAGTGATGCAAATTGCTTGTGTAATTAAGAGCATAAAGGATACTTGCAAAAATATCCTTTTGATACTTCCGTATCCTTCAGGATGGGAACCTTAGAAATTTTCTTCAACTGATCAGTATATCATGCCGAAGAAATTTAAGAAATCAACAGACATTTCTCACTGCTAATATAAGTAAATAGATTAAGTCATTTGAAGTGGTTACTTCATGAAGTTTGCTAAATTGTAAATCTCTGTTTATAATGATTTTACAAGTTGTTATTTTCAGTTTAATCATGTTTTGGAGACAGACATCAAGACTGTAAATCCTTCAAGACGCAATACAATTTACGGTCTGGCAGCATGAACTTTCATAGCTCTGTGAAACCACTCCCAGTTCCCTGCTGAAAGGATCTCATCTATTAATGCAATATCACGCTCGCTCATCTTTTTAAGTATATATTTCAATGAATATGTCAAATATTTAATAATTTAAAAATTAATTATTGTAATTTGTAGGTTTTGCTAAACATTGCGTTTAAGCATTAGATAATAACAGATTCTTAATGATGCAGAAGAATCTCTTTAATCCATATTAATGACAGGGTGTCTCACTGTTATCCCACCCAAATCCCACAAGTTGCCAGATTATTACCGTTTTGCTCATCTTGTTATTTAAGTGAAGATCTTTAACATACAGATATCCTGCATAGCAAAGAAATTCTTGGAGCTCATTATGGTTCTGATCCCATCATTAATTAAGGCAACAGGATGTTTCTCATTCACTGAGCTATCATGGTATTAACGTGGAAAGGGAGTGGAATATTCAAATACCGGGATAGGAGACATGAGGCATCGGTGCCACCAGCTTTGCGGCAGAGCGGAGGCAGGGGTAGCAGGGATGCTGTAGGATGGGCTCCCCCTGCGCCCTGGCTCATCACCTGCCTGGGACCACGCTTTTGGTCCAGCCCAGGCAGGACACACAGTCTTGTTAGAATGTAGAAACTTTCTCTTTCCGAGGGTGGATTGAGATGAGATATTGGGAAGAAATGTTTTCCTGTGCGGGGGGTGAGGCAGTGACCCAGGTTGCCCAGAGAAGCTGTGGATGCCCCATCCCTGGAGGGGTTCAAGGCCAGGCTGGATGAGGCTTTGGGCAACCTGGGCTGGTGGGAGGTGTCCCTGCCCATGGCAGGGGGTGGCACTGGATGGGCTTTAATGTCCCTTCCAACCCAAACCATTCTGTGACTCTATGATTTTGCTCATCAAGGTACAAGATGTCACAAGATGTTCCTAGTTGTATTTTCTAGGACAATGCCATGCGAAGAGAGTATATAAAAATAAAATACAGCCTTGGGCTGTGAAGCTCTGTTGCGCTTCGTCCAGCAATTAGCATTTGAAAAATAGAAAGTGTTTGCAATTAATCTCTGTAACCACCCACGCATCCCAAAGGATGGTTGGTTAGTCTGAAAATACAGTGAAGAGAGGTTTTCCACGGGTGGAGGTTTTGTGGGTGTTCTTCCTTTTGTAAGTAATGCTGCAGAAATTGGAAATTGGGGTCTTTTGAGGAAGAGCAAGTAACACCAGGTGAGGAACAGGAGCTGCTGAGGCTCGCGGGGTACCTGAGCTGGTCAGGCAGCATCTCCATCTCGGTGGGAAAGGGACATTCAGGAAAGTCCAGTGTCCACGAGCGCATCGCTGAGCTGGTGAGGGAGGCTGTGCAGTGCTATCCTAGGGGTTGAATTTGGAGAACCTGCTCCGTAATTTCAAATTTTTTTGAATGCTGATCAGATTTTGAAATGAGATGTTTGTGCTTATTGATATTTGATTTCTTGTAATGGTGCTTTTGTTCTCTTTTTTTAAGGTACGGTGATATGAGAAGGCAGATCGGTTTTGAAATCAGGGACATGTGGTATAATCTGGGTAAGTAGTCTGAGCACCTATTGCTTCATTCTTTCACTCCGTGTTTGTATAATAAACCAAGTTAGAGGTGAAACAAACTTGCTTTCCCTTGAAATAATAGTAGGCTTCCAAAAGGTATTTAAAAAGCAAGTGATTTGAGAAATAAAGCCGCCTCTGCACGCTTATGTCACCGCCTGGGAAGGTACAAGTAGAGTCAGTGTTTACATATCTTCTGTTTTTTCATAGTATTCAACATCATACTAGATAAAAAACTGTTATGGTGGTACCTGTTAATATTTTTTCTCCTTAAAAAAAATAAATATATATATACAGACCTATGTATACACACACACATCCATGTGGATGCAATAACTGAGAATGGAGCAAAATTTATGCATCCAGGGGTTATCAGTAACTTATCCAGGGAATTCTGCTTAAAGTCTGATTTCCAGTCTTGTTTTGCTGTGTCAGAGTGACTCAGGAAGATCAGCAAAGAATGAAAACTTGGGCATCCCTGGAGTTGGTAGGTAAATTAGGCATATCTGACTATCTCAAGTCTGCACTATATTCTGTGAGTATAATTCAGCTATATGGGGATTGAATTTCATGAGAAACTGAGTATTTACTGTGACCTGAGCGTACTCATCTGCCAGATTTCATTTTCCTGAGCTTAACAGCAGAGACACTTCAGCTCTT